GAAATTTCCCAAGCCAATTGCATAAACTTTTGAAGCACTGCAAACCAGAACCAAACTTTAGTTAGGAATCCAAATTCAAACTATGTATTTCCAGTTCATCTGTAAGGAACATTGGTTTGAAGTAAAGAGGAAGTAAATAATTTGAATCTCAACATGGGGAGTAACTACATGGTCTCAAAATTCATTCAAGCCATATACTTGCATTATATGTAAGCTACTTTCTGCGATGCTGGTTTCACACACAGTCCTAAACCATAATGTGGCTGGTTTGCTAGTACTTGAAATGTATGACATTATGTGTGAATTTAGTTACTTCTACTTATTTAACAAACCACAGTTAAAAATCCCAGCTTGACGCAGTGTGTACCAAAATCTTTTCCTGAGAAGCACTGAAATTGGATCTATGGGGTTGGGGCTTTTTAAACAAAAAATCTTAGTATTTGCTCTATCTATTACTTTAATAAACATAAAAGAGAAAAAGGAGAGGAAAAAATGACAAAATCCACAAAACCAAAAAGTGAAAGGAAAAAGCAACAAAATTATCTTCCATACAAGAAATCATAGAGACTAATTTTTAAGCACACCACATGGCACCTTGACCACACAGAACAACAGATTTTCCATTACATCAACAGAGAATCAGTTCATAAGCAGAAAACATAGAGCCTTATTTTTTTATTTCAATTTATATTTAAGTGACTCTGGGCAATAAATAGTTAAAAGAAATGGATATAATAATACAAAATAAAAATATGCAATAAAATTATAGTGATGACTAAAGACTGGGAATTGCTCTTTCTTTCAAATACTGTGGAATAATTCTTTTTCCTGCCTTGCCATACTCAATAAATCCATAATTCTTCATATTAGTTTGTGTTATGTAATTCACAAATGTTCACATATTTAAACTGCATTGATCTTTTAATTCCATATTGTATGTATTATGTACAGGTAGTCCTCTCCTAATGACCACAATTGGGACTGGAATCTCGGTTGTTGAGCAAAGCAGTCGTTAAGTGAGATGCCCACATGACTGCTTCACTCAATGACCGCAATCCAGCACTCCCAGTTGTGGTCATTAAGCAATCTTCCAGGTTGTTAAGCGGACAGAGTGAAAGATCTGTCTGCTGAAGAATTTCAACTCAGTACAGAGCTGAAATCCTCCCAGAGCTGAAATCCTCTCAGCAGGCAGCTCTTTGATAGTGAAAGGGCAGCCTGCTGGACAGTGTCGACTTTGCATGGAGCTGAAATCCTCCCAGCAGTTAGCCCTTTCGCTCTCAAATGTTCCTAAAGCCCGCCAAAGGATTTGCCCTCCCCTCCATGGATGGAGGGGAAATACTTCCTGGGGCTAGAGGAACAGAGCTCAAATCTTCAAGATTTGAACTCCATGTCTGCCCACTCCTGAGAGGGGAGGGGAAACCTCCTAGTGGTGGGCAATTATGGAGCTCAAATCCTGAAGATTTGAGGTCCATTCCTTCACGCTGCTGAAACCTTTCAGTGGTGGGAAATTACAGAGCTCAAATCCTGAAGATTGGCTGGCAACAATTATACAAATTTCACTAAAGCAGTCTGGAAAACCATTATTTAAAAGGGCATCATTACAGATATCCAATAGTATTTAGACAAAGAATATAATTTGTTTTATATCATTCCATGGACAACCATCTAGACCATGAACCTAATGGCATCTATTATTTCTTGGAGAGATCAGGTGAAGCTAAATAGACAGACTGATTACACATAATCTTAAGAAGAACTATATTTAAAATTGATTAATTTTTTCCTTGATTACATTTGCCTCAGTAATATATAATTTAGAATTTTAGAAGTGTTGCTTTATTTGATTAGAAACATTACATATTTCACCCCGGGTGGCCTTAATAGTAAAGACGCAATGATTTTATCTGAGAGGCTAATAATTTATCAGGTCTTTTATCTCTCTGCTTTATACAATTAAATGAGTGTTCCATTTCAAGTACCTAATGTTCTACAGTTACCTGGAATACTTACTGCTCTCAAAATAATTCAATTCTGAATATATGCAGAAAAAAAATGGACAGTACATTTTCAGTTCTTGGCTTGTTAAATCCTGCTAAATTCAATACTTGCTTTTGAGAAGCATGCTTAGGATGAAGCTGTAAAGTTGTCATTCTTTTAATGAAATAATGCTGGGCTTTTTTCCCAGCCTTTAAGCAGAGAGAATGGACTCCGATATATCACAGAACTGCAAAGGACTTCCGAATCAAAGGTCAGCTATCTAATACACCACCTGCCAAAGCAGATAATCTGCTGTTACAAGATCAGTGATGAATGGTGCATGTCCCCACTTCCCATTAGTGAGGCCTAAGCACCTGTCTCCTTTATAATCCCATGAGTAACCCAGCAAGCCATTGGATGCTACTTCTCATTAAGATGCAAAAGAATATTTTCAGTTAATCAAATCATGTCTCTAACCGTGTTTTTTTTTAAAAAGCAATTCTGTACTCTTTCCAAAAATCAGCATTTAAAAATACATTTTTTGGGAGGGAAAAACATCACGTTAGTCCATCAATACAACCAAAAAGAGTACCGCTGACACACTGTAGAGCAGTCAGGCCTGATTCACAGGCTCACAGACTTAAAAAGGGCCACTGAGTCCAATTCCCTGCTGAATACAGGAATCCAACAACTCTGACAAATGATTATCCACCTCTGTCTGAAGATATCCAGAGAAACGGAGCTCAGTACCTCCCTCAGTAATCAATTCCCCTGTTGAGCTGATCTTATCTCATGGCACTCTGCCTTCCTTATACTTTAAGATTATTATTCTGTGTTCCACACTGTAGGGCAATAGAGAATATACTTTGTACCTGAAATCTGCTATCATAGCACCTCTGGCACCTTTTTTCAAAGCTAGACAGTTCTTTCATTCTTTCCTAGTTTCCAGCCACCTGACCATTCTTCTTGCCCTTCCTGACATTTTATAAATCCAGGCTACCTGTTTGCACTTTTCTTTGATAATCTATTCTTGTTTCCTTCTTTTTGTGTCCTTTTTAATTTTCTCATTTTCACTAAGCTTTTTGTAAGGCCACAGTGGCATCTTCTACTTGATTTTGTTGTTTTTTTCCTCTTCACTGGAATTATGCTTATTTACTGTATGCTTTTAGTATCTTCTTTTAGGACTTCTTTTCCCTCTGTTATCCAAATCAGACTTGAGCAGATATACCTTTCAGAGCAATCAGAGTTGCCCACAAAACAAAGCAGTTGTCTAATGGGTCTGTCCCATGGCCAGATACATTCCCCACCCATACTGGTGTGAGCAGAAAAACTGTGATACTCACACCACATCACGATCTGATACCATAAGATAAAACAATAAGACAATCCATATAATTGCTTAACCAGCTGTAAGGCTGTTGCAATCACAGGGGCAATTACAGCTTTTCCAAACATTATAACTATATTTACTAAGCATACTACAGGATTCAGTAAGCCAGACCTTCCCAATATGATGTCCATCAGACTTGTAAAGTCTACCAGTTTTCACAATTCCCAGCAGCATGTCCAATAGCTGGGCCTGAGCAGACCCAAGATGAAAAATGTAGATCTAGCCAATTGCTATAACAACTGACATTTCACGTATTAGACAAGCTTTTAACATGGGAATAATGAAGCTCTTGCTCCTTTTGAACGTGGATAGAAGGACTGCATTTTCTTACTATGTAACCTAACCTTCATTCTGTTATTTCAGTCTTTAAGGAACATATTGCACAAGATTGCATTTTGTCTTTCCTTCAACTATTTGGGGAAAAATGGGGTGGGTTGGGACATGCCCCTTAGGGTATATACCATGTTTTACTCCACTATCTCAATTTTCAATGTGGTTATCACTAAGGCTACAAAGATACAAATTATATAGCAACAAAAGGTTAAAGTTTTCAGTATCTGTTTGCTGCCCTCTGTATTTATCTGGATTTTTGCCATCCACACATGGTAATCCTAGTTTCACATTAGGCAAAATTGCAAAGAAATCAAAAACTTACAAACCAAAAGTCAAACTGCCATTAATTCTAAGCACAGACAGCTGCTTTGAACATTCATGAATTTGTCTAAATATTTCTAGGCCACCTAAGATATCAGCCACAAGCACATCCAATGGCCATTTCAATGAACTTAACAGAATACAATGTTGGGAAGGCCTTATTCAGACATACTTTTGTTTAAAAATGGGTGCAGGAGTCTATCATGGTTTTGAAATATATATATATCCCCCCCTGAAAGTGTACATTAGCTTTTACACCATTATATCAGCCTTCCAAACTTATTATTTTGTGCTTTGTGCTTTATTTTTCCTAGTCCTGAAAACTAGTGCTATATCTTATAGAAGCATCATGCCTAAACATAGACTCTGTCCAATATTCAGTAGTTTTTGGCTTGTATTCTAAGATGATTTAAATGGAATTCATGAAAGGCAAGTTTCCCATTTTCTATCCTTTCCTCATCCCTGCAACCCCTGTGCTCCATCCCATGTTGATTAGGACCCTACTCTTTGGAGAACCATAGATTGCAGTAGGAGAATAGAAGAAACAAATTACTTTGCTCCCATGAATTGTCTTCAGTCTATTGTAAGATCCAAACTTCTCAATTACAAAGTGATGCAGATAAATGGAATTCTTACTTCAGAGACCTTTCTTTGTTTGTACAATTAAATGCTGTATGAAGAAATAGTTCCTTTTTTACTTTTGAACTAATTAAACTGCTAATTAATTCCACTGTATGAGACTGGACTCTAATATTTGACATAAATGTTCTACTTGAGTTCGGAACACAGCTTGAAATAATAGATGTGAAAAACAGATTCTCTTAAAATTGCATATATATTATTAGCTACATGTCTCAATAGCTTTTTCATATTAGTCAAAGTTTATGAAAACTCCTATTAGCAAAATTAGGAATCTTCTGATTTTTCCTAATCTTCTCTAAATCTGAATCAACCAAGCTAGATAACAGGTTGGACTTACTCTGGAAGTCGAGAGAAGATACCTGCGGATACAGATGTTATACCATCACTGAGAGATAACAAATGTCCCTTCTGGGCCCACTTAACTATGAACTCCAGTATAATCAGGGTAATGAAGAAGGGAGTTGCCTAAAATGAAAGGGAAGAGACATAAACAAAGTAAAGATTTAATCATACTAGGCACATTCTGCCTTTGCTTTCCAAAAATGATCTAAACTTGAACACACATATTTTTGAATTACTTCCTCTATAGCATCATCTGTATATCTTAATGAGCATATTGTGCTAGGTAAACTGTATGTGGTTTTACAAAGGATGCTGAAAGTGCAACCCATGCACATCGATTCAGTCTGGCTTAGAACCAGAAACTTTCTGGCCCTTGATGCTCTGAAAATATGTAACATGCAATTGTATCATTCATATCTGATTCTGATTAAGCTACAGGGTGGGAAAACGATCTTTATATATTAAAAAACGCTGTGCTACAGGAGGGGAGGCAGTTATTGACTTTATTCAAAGTGCAATTAAAAACTAAATTACCATTGCCAAGGTTAGAATACTGAACAGATCCCAATTAATGCCAACTGATTTTTTTTTCCTCTATGTAGAAAAGATCCCAATTAAAGCCAACTGGATTTTTTTCCCTCTGTGTTCATCTGCAGGAGGAATGGGGAATGAGTTAGATTCCTAACATATGTCTCCTCTTCCATACAAAGCACTTATAAGGCTCACCTGCAATTTGTTTCAAAATCAGATAAACAGCTACATTCTATGAATTTTCTGAAGGCCTACTTTAACCTTTATTCTCATGATAGCTTGCCATTCTGGGAGTTTTAATTCCAACACAGGTTGGAAAAGACTCCTTTGCAGGTGTTCTGCATTTGGGAAGGGCCATTACATATCTAGTACTGCACAAACTCCTGTATCACTAGCATAATCTCGAAGAATACTTTTAATACATACAGTTAACATATATAGCTAAGAGTCATCAATCAGTATGGAACCAGATGTAACATCAAGATAGTATTGGACTATTGTAATGCATTCTGTGAGAGTACCCTTGAAAACATTTCAGAAGATTGCAACTGAGTTTTAACTAATTTTATTCAAGCCAGCAATGGGCAAGATATGTCTCCCCCCCCCCCATGTTGTTTAACTCCAATTCTCATAAGCTTTACCCTGCATGGTTAATAGTGAAGGAGTGGCAGCCCAACATCTGGAGCATCACAGTTTGCACTAATACTAATAAAAAATTAATATGTTTTTAAGGAACATGGCATAAAGGGCCTTGTCTCTTACCAATCAGCACACGTGTTTCAATTATCAGTGATAGTCCCTCTTTGCCTCCCATCTGCATCTGCAGAGATAACTTCAGATTCCATGCTTAGTATTTCCAAGCGGGAATCGAAAAAATTCTGAAAGCCTGAAAGGCTGCTGCCAGAACTGGATTCCTACATCATACTAAGCCATGATTTGTTTAACCAAGGTATCTTGGCTAAGCCATGTATACCTCTCCTCTCCTCCAGAAGGAATAACAACCCGCTTTTGTACTGCTGCCAGGAACTTAACACAGCATATATAGAATTCCTCATTTTTTTCCAAAACACCGTGAAGGGAAAGTTGGGCTAAGAGACAGTGACTGGCCCAAGGTGTGTAAATCCAGCCACTTTTCTTCCAATCTATTTATTTTGGGATTAAGAAAGCTAAGGAAAAAGTTCATTGACCTAAGAAATGTGTAAGGATAGGAGTAAAACAAATATGTGCCTTCTAACTAAAGGGAAAGGGGTGAGATTAATAGGGAGGCTGTGTCCTACCCAGTTGTACACTCATATGGTTCAAATCAGAGGTCAGAGTTCAGCATACTTTGGACCAGTTGCCATCTCTTAACCCAAGAGATTTCTTGACCTCCAGATGTATTGCACTATAGCCCCCATCAACCACAAGAGAATGGCAGCTGCACCTCAAAAGGTGAAGTCTCTTTTCAGTTGATTCCTGGTGACTTCATAGGATGCCTCCATGTAGTTTTCTTGACATCAATATGAAAATAGTTCCTCTTCGCCTGGGTTTCTTTTTTAACTTCCCAGTTTATTCATGAGCTCAGTCTTCCTGAGGCTCTCCCACTCAAACGCAGCTTCTTCGGGAATCATGGTTGGCTGAAGGTTACCGCCTAGCCCCACGATTCTCAAAAGATAACGTCTCCTTCAAAACAACCCGGTGATGTCATAGACACCCTCCCCACACTCATGTAGGCGGGGGCGGGAGTGCGGGTGGGCGGCAACAATATGGGAGAAAACACTTCCTAAGTCTGAGAGAATTCTAAGAGAAACTTCCCCCTCCACGCTGAGGGACAATACGGCGTTTCAAGGTCCCGTTTTCACCCCAAACGTTCACCAGTCGGCTGCGTTCTCCAAAACGGCAGCGGGCTTTCAACTGTAGCGGTTTGTTGCGGGGGGGGGTGCACTTAGGAAGGTTGGATTACGAGCCCTCACCTTGTCCACGTAATCAGGAACTTCCTCGAGGCCGCGGAAAGAGCTCTCGTTGGGACCAAGGACGTAAAACATGGCGCGGAGATTCTGGAGAGGAGAGACCGCCACTCCAGGAGACGCGGCGGTGGCTGCCATGGTTTACGAGCCTAAAACGTTTGCACAGCGGCTTCTAGGAGGTGGCCCCTCCTCTCTATAGCGAGGCTAGCGAGAGGCTATCCGACGCAGATAAGGAGACACCTTCGTGGGTTGCTGAACTGGAGGAAGGTTCAATTCACAGGCTAGAAAATAATTACAGTTTCGGGGTGCAATTGGTTGCGCAGGCGTGGCGTTCCTCACTTTGTGTAGAAAGAGGTGTATTCCTGCACGAGGAAAGCTTTGGGCGTAAGATCCAAGAGATAGGCTCAGTTGACGGTGGTTCACAGACGTGAATAAATGATACCGGTTTATGGCTTAATGTAAGAGTCATTTCAAACTGTACAGGGGAGGTGTTTTAGTATTTTTGCAATTGTGCACTGCATCCAGGATGTTATTTTTTTCTTTTATTTGTTTTGCACCGCCAAGTATCTTTAACTAGTGAGGGTCTTTTAGAAGGTGTGTTTTCTGTAACCAGGGCTTGGAAGCACTGCTAAGGTATTATGGAAAATTAAGACAGCCTGTCAGTTAAGGATGCAAGGTGTCACCTTTCTCCACCATCATCCATTTTAATGGCTTGAGATGGATTCCCTCATGAAAATGACATTAACTACTGCCATTAGGAGATCGCACTAATCCCCTAGGGCCATCTCCTTTCAAAGGAAAGCCACCTATTATTTCTGGCAAAAGGAACATTTCACTGCCATTTCACTTTCAGTGAATGGCTGAGGAATTTCTCTGTGTTCCCATATTTACAATATGATCAGAATTTCAGTTTGTGTGAGTATGATCTCAAATATGGAATTTGCTAAAAAGGACTGTCAGAGCCCTAAAAAAGAGAAATCACAAGACCAAATGAAATTTAGACACTGAGCACAGTGCTAACTGAACCATCCCCGTGGCTAGAATACTCCTTTAAGCTTCCTTCAATTTTCTTATCAGGCTTCCTGTTTTTTTTCCTTTGCCTATTGAAGTCAATGACTCAACAAATTGGGAATGTGTAGATAAACTCCGAATCTTGACATGACTGTTGGGATTATGTTATAACCTATTAGTTTTACTTCCTTGAATGAAAAGTATTGATCCATCTGATCAAATGCTGAGCCACACTTTGAATGGGAAGCCATCTCTGTGTGTGGTCTGGGACAACCAGTTTCATTGTCACTCTTCCTAAAAAAAAAAAGTTCCTTCACTTACTAGTTAAGCCAGAATATTGGCAGTAGTCTCCCTCTAATGAGCTTCTCATATTGCCTGTTCGCACTTGCAGCCCATCATACAGTAAAATGTGTGGGCAATCACAGAGAGCAGCAGTGTTTTTCTGTGGTGTGGTGCCCTCAGTGTGAATCTCAACTTTTGTTTGAACAAGTCAAAAGTCTTTGGGTTACAATTAAAGAACAGGGATCTCAAAGACTGGGATTCTCTTACTAATAGGTTATTTCAGTATCCAAGGAAACAAAACTCTTAGAGGAAACGAAGGAACTAGCCCAACGTGATCTGCAGGCAGCTCATGTTTTTTGTTTTCTCTGAAGAACACTGTCCCACCTACTCCATGAACAGAAAACACTCAGAGGCTTCCTGTTTGAATCTCTTCAGAGCATTGCGGCAACATTAAATAAGAAACTCATAAAGAGACTTTGGGTAGGGTTAGAATGGGTTGGGCAACACCATTTGTCTTGGCAGTAGTTCATTGCAAAGTGAAATTTCATACAGACGTGAGCTGGGAATAGTTTGAATAAGAGTTGAAGTTATATGTAAATATGGGAAATAGCTTTACATAATAATAAGGATGTTAGAGCTTTAAAATATACTTTTAATCCATTCCTAGTTCAGCTCTTCATTTAGATTAGCACCGTGGCAAAACTGCAAATTATTCCTAGCTGTTCTTAGTATGATAAGGAATGTGTATGTTCATATTCCCTATGTCCAATATATGGTGCAATAATAGTGATACCTTTAATTGCAAAAGAGTTCCAAGTTCATGTTTACATAATCATCATGTCATATATTTGTGTTACTTAAAAGATTCCATAACCTTGTACCTAATTCCATTCCTTTAATCTGCACATGATTAACATCTGTAGCCAGCAAAATATTTTGTAGTTAGTGAATGACCTATTTTGCCACCTAAATAAATGATTAATCTTTGTGAACAAGAGCAAAAATGTCCAAATTACCATGCCCACAGTCAAGTATACATAGTATCCTGGAGAAAAGTCTGTGCTAATGAATGTTTTAAATAAGCTTTATACATTTTCCCTTGCAATATGTTATTAAAAATATGAAATTGGTAGGATTTGTATCAGTCCATCTATTTACTGAGAAGATCTGCTTTTTCATTATAATGGAAATACTAAGTAATAAAAATATATCAGCATAATACTAATCAATAAAATATGTAATAAAAACTAAAGCTCTAAAATGTAAAATTATATAGAACTACAGTTTCTATCAGAACAGATGTATACATTCATGCATGGTGTAAAAAATACAGGCAGAAAAGGATTTTTTCCTCCTTATTGTAGAATATTAGAACTCAAGTGTAGGGAGATTCTGCACTAATAGGCCATATCAACTAGCCATACTGGCTGGGTTTATATAGTGTACTAAGCCATAATGTAGTTTGCTTGGCTGTATTTTAGCGCAGCATATAAACATGGCCAGCATAGTTTTTATATTCTAGTTTATGGCTTAGAATGAATCCAGTGGTGAGCAAACCATGCCTTTACATGGAATTAAGTATTCACATGGTTACTACTTTAAACAATTATTAAAAGGGAACAAGAACAACAGCATAGCACCAGTCTTAAAGGTGGTGCATGACCGTTTACTTGTAAAATAAAAATCAGCATCCCTTAAATTCTAGTTGCTACATGTAACAGTTGAAGAGGGCTACCTGGAGGCACATGAACAATTGGGTGATGCAAAATGCTGACCTTAGGCTGACTTTATCCATTAGGGCTCTTCTTCCATTCTTAAATGTAATAAGGAAAAAGTATTCAATTAAATGTTTGGGCAGATAAATGAATTTTAAACTGTTGTTTAAAAAATAATTGGATTGTTACCTACAGTAAGTCTAGAAAAGGTGTTGAAAAAATATCACCACTAAGAAGGCCCTTTCCTATCACCACAGGACCGGTTTCTGAAACCAGAAGAACCTCCAATTAGGGCTTCTAGATAAATCATAATCAATAAGCATACGAACAATGTAGGGAAGGGGGCAACTGATGAAATGAACATTCTGATACAAGTTCTACCCTTTTGTACTGCATGCAAGTACTAAAGGGCAGAGCTCACATTCTAATATCACAATCCACATTTTGTCATTGTAGTTAGGAACAGATACCTATGTCACTAGGATTTGCAATTTACTATTGAGAGGAACCATGTAAATGTTTATAATTTAATGTCCTTTTAACGAAAGTATTTATGATATTTTTTAAAGGTGAGCCACCTTTTTTTCTAGTCTTGCTTCAAACAGCAGCTACACAAACAAGAGTTAAACAGGTGAAGCTGTTTCTAGATTCAGCATTTACCAGCCATCTGGAAAAAGTTTCAGCTGTTAAAATTCTCTATTTCAGTTGCTTTTACAAAAGTGTTGTTAGGTAGCAAATCAGCTTACATTGTGCTACATGGTGCAGAGTTTTATCCTTCAGCATATGCCAAAAATTTCCAAAATGCATTCCCTGAGACAGCCAAGCCATTTCACCTAATGGCAAAAACCAGTCTGGGATTACATTACAACTATAATTTAGTAAAAGGTCCCCTTATTCCATTTGTGTAATTTATCAAGCTGCTTCATTGTTCATTTAATCCTTCTACTGCATTTCCTGCTTGGTTCTTGACAGGACCAGCATTCCTGTCCCCTCCCCTGTGCAGCGCAATGGAGCCCAGCCTGAATTTGCTCCCCAAGGCACATGGTCCTGCCCTCTCAGTTCCCATATTGAATATTGAACAAGGAGTTGGAGGGGAAAAGTGAATAAAACATAACTCTGCATTATCATGATCCAAGTTCATCTGGAAAGTTATATTCAAGTTCAAATGAGTGGATGCTGAGTCTTTCTTCAGATCTCACTGTTTCATAGCTTGGTTGTACTTTAAACTAAGCCATAGTTTGCTTAGCCACAGTTTATAGAAGAAACCACATTTGGCTGCATACACAAATATGCTTCACACAAATTGGATGAACCACATTATGCTTTAGTGAGATATGTGTATCCAACTACAAAAGGTATAAGATGCTCACCACTTTGTACTGCTCCATTTCTGTCCTGTTTCAGGCAAATACCTTAACAGATACAGTGTACAGGAAAGAATAAGAATTCTCCGGGATGGTAGTTCAAACTGCAATTCAGTTATAAAAATGCTTTGGATTATAGCCCATGGGAGAATGGAAAACACATAATTCTCTCCTTCTCTATCATTCCTGCAGTAAGTAACAGGCTTCCACACAGTCAGTGGCTGTTTCCAAATCCATTGAGGAGAGTATTACAAAGTTAGAAAGGAAAAATCATAACTTTGGAATTTACCAAATTATATTTAGTTGGAGGAATCCTTCCAGAGCAGCAGACTGTTTTGACAGCAGCTGTGATCAAAATGTGGATGGATTTTTCTGAGTGTGTTTTTATTTACTAATTTGGGAAAGTCTGAATCTATGGGATTTTATTTGAGGCATATTGATGACATTGGCAGACTTTAATATATATGTAGCATGTTGCTGTATTTTAAAGGATAATGATATACAAAGTTGAAACATATATCATGCCTGTGATAGGCAATCCATGTTATACAAAACATTTGGTCAATTGCTGGTTTATGCATAAGACTTTCACTGATTCACATTCCTACATAAAAGAAATATCTAAAAGTCTTGAAGCAAATGGTGAGGTGCCATTTAGAAAGAGGGAGGGAGGTAAATCTTCCTTTGGTTTTAAAACATCCTGTCACATGTCCAACAGAATGACTTGGCTCACTTCTTGTGTTAAGTCACATTTGTTTTAACATGGTTGGTTAAATAAAC